ATTTTATAATCAAGTATACAGATGCATTATCAACATTAAATGCACTATTACATAAACAAAAATAAGAATAAAATGAATGGATTTAATAGGTGACGAAATAAAATCAAGATGACATTTGCTTTTGTAATAAAGATTTTATTGTGCATTGTTTGTTGTGAATTTTATACTAAAATAAATAAATGTGTTTATAATCAATCAGATGCATTATCAACATTAAATGCACTATTACCTAAACAAAAATAAGTATAAAATTGACTGTTTAATAGACGACAAAATAAATCAAAATGATAATAATAAAGATTTTATTGTGCCTTTTATTGTCCATTTGTGTATTTTGTTTTTAAATAAATAAATGTTTGTTTTTATAATCAAATATAATCATTTTTAAATGACTAAATATATATATCTCAATGTAGCATCTACAATACAAGCAATTTCTCACATAAAATACATCACATAAAGGAAGTTAAATGCATTGCAAATAGCACTTCATGTTACCTTTAAAGCTGTTAGCATGTATAATGTAAGTTTAGTTTACCTTCAGCCGTGTGACGCGTTTCTTCCAGGAGCGGAGGCCTGACAGATAGACCTGTCTCAGGGCCTGATGGGACAGCTGCAGGTCGATCCCCTCTGGAGTGATAGTGAACTGAAACGCCACGGCCTGATGGGCTTCTGCCATTTCTAAAGAGAGTGTGAGACAAAGACAGAGGCTTTTAAAAACAGCAGCTCAAATTTCCCTGCAGCAAAGGTACAGTACTTTGTGCATGATTGCAGCCCTCGACGTCCATCGCTTTATCTCACTTACACTTATTTAAACACCATCCAGCATCCGTTATGAATCTACAAGTTGAGTTATGATCCATTAAGGCAAGAGCAGTGAGTGCTGATACAGACGTTTCTGTGAAGGGCTCATTTTATGCCTATAAAACCCAATCAACAGATATGAGAGAGTCTGTTTCCAGCCTGTGTAAATGAAGGGAAACTTCCTTCAAAACTCTCATTCCTTCTGCCTTTATCCAGCCTGGTCATGCTTTCATTGCTCATTCAGACAGACTAGACACTTAGAATTTATATATAAATAAAACATATAAATAAATAAAATCACTCCGACATCTACATCCAGACAAGATGTATCTATGGCAACAGTGTTGTTATGGCAACCAGGAGCAAAGCATTCCCTCATGACTACCAGTCTGCTCAACCAAAAACACAGTTACAGTATTCATCAACATTCCTCTTCATATACACAGTGATGTGCACAGGTCTGGTAAAATAAGCTTTACATTGTCAAAGAATTATTAAAATAATTTGCATGCCTATGCATTTGCACATGCATATAAACAATTCATATAAACAAATGACAAATAGCATTGATATTGTCGAATAAAACTAAAATAAAGCAAATATAAATATTAAAAACAAAAACTAATCAAAAATAAA